TGAAATATAAATTGAGTGGTAAATTTTAGTAGCAATCTAGTGAGAGGATTCGTTGACTTTGGGCGATCATAGTTCATTAATTAAGAGTAACACGCTTTAGATATCTTGGATCTACTTGTTCAAAGTGATGGTGAAATAGATGCGGGATATTATCAGCAAATTCAAGTTTGTATGGTTGAAAGTGGAGGAATACTTTAGGCCTATTTGTGCGATAGAAAGTTCCCCTCCAACTTAAGGGAAAATTCTATAAAAAGAATGGTGGTGAGAAACTGCAATGCCTTTTATTGGTGCCTGAATGTTGGCTTATTAAAAGCGAAGCATAATACTAAGTAAGTGTTGCAAGAGATGCAGGATTGTTTAGGTGGATGAGTGGCTTTACCTTTAGAATATAAGGAATACGAAATGAGCATATAAAAAGTGAAAAGGTTGCAGTAGCTCCAGTGAGAAGATAAGATTAGCAGAGACGTCGCCTATTAAGACTGGTTTTGGCCACATTAAATGAACAGGCCTTCCTATAAGCCGCTGTTAGGAAGTTTGAGGGTTTATTAGATTTGACTTATGTTAAGAAAAGCTAGAGGTAAGACCTAAAAAGACTTGGTTTTATAAAATATAGAAATGATCTTTCTTTTTATTAAGATTATAAATGGGAAAAATTGAACTTTTTAAACAGGACACAATGGCGAAAAAAGGATTCCATGTAGACCGACCCCACATAGTGGAGGACAAAGGCTTGATGTTTGTTGTCTGTTTGTTTTTGTATTATTCTTTAATCTTTAATTTATCATCAATTTTTTACCCCAAGTGAATAAAGTGTTTTTGGCCTATTTACAAAAGTCTTACATTTCTTTTTTTTAATGGAGAAACTATCATGTTTATTTCTTTTGGAAAAGCAATCACCTTAACGCAATAAAGTTTGAAACATGTTTGTGGGCTCCGAAAATTCGGCCCCGGCCTCCCGCCGTGACTTTTTTTCTTAATTGTTGCGGCGAGGAGTTATTTAACTGAATAAGGTTTTTGAGGTATAATTTGGCAATGGCAGATGGGTTTGGTTAGAATTAATACTTATTCGATAATGTTTGAGAAAAATTTGGAGATTTGATATTTAAAATAGAAATTTCACCATCTTTCACTTAAAGCGGATGGTGGGGGAATGGATGATGGGCCCGATCAAGATCCCATGGTTCCGTCATCCCGGGCCATCGTGGTCCCTGGTCTACTTAGTCAGAGGAGGTAGTCGACCCAACCTGACAGAAGGATCCTTGTCGGCAGCCATGGGTTGCTTCGTCCAAGGGGACCTTGTAAACCAGGGTTTGTGTTTGTCTAAGGGGACAAATTTAAATTCACCTTAGCTGACAGAGGGCTTTGTGCCCTATCGATCATATCCTATTGATTCATATCTCAAGGATTTAACGCCATTAAGGAGCGTATTGGCTCTGGCCATAACCGCTATCTGTGGTGCCATTTGGCGGCAAAACCACTCGGTTCAGAGGGCCCCGGGTCATAATCGTTTACCTGCAGTGCCATTTGGCAGCGAAACTGGCGGTTAGAGGACACGTACCACGTCCTTACTGGCAAGAGATTGTTTGATAATGGATCCTAGTGATATTTTCGACTAGGCATTTAGTTCTTTGTGAGTTGAAATAAAATTTAATTTGTCCGCCCCAGCAAAATGTTGCGGAGGGTGGATGAATTTTGCTTTAAGTTTTTCATGGTTGAATTTCAAATTTTAAATATTTTTGAAATTTTGAGATTTTGAATATTTTTGGGATTTTGGTTTTTGTGGAGTTTTGGATTTTTATGGGTATTAAATTTTAAATATTTTTGGAATTTTGGGATTTTGAATATTTTTGGGATTTTGGTTTTTGTGGAGTTTTGGATTTTTATGGGTATTTTGGGTGGAACTTTGGAGTATTTGAAATGAACTTTTGGGAGAATTGAAAGTATTTGGGAACCCCTCCGGTTGAGATTTGCATTCAACACGGCCATCATCGGGGTGTTTGGGGTCATTTCTCTTTATGGATTGAACCTTGTCAACTCTATCGGGCTGTCGACAGAGGATCGGGTTCATAGGCTTTATGCCATTTGATAGTGAATTCTCATTGTTATAGGCCTTGAATGCTTAATATGGATGTATTAAGACAAATATAACAATCGTCACAACCGTATATTTGTTTGTTGGTTCGAACCCTGTCGACTTTTATTGACCTGTATAGAAGGATCAGTTTCGAACCTGAATTCACTTGTTAACCCGCGCAGCATCCCTAGACGTTACGTGTGTACCAATAACACGCTCGCCGGGGCCCATGCGGGTGTTTGGGGGCATTTTATAATTAAACTCTGTCGATTCCTTTTATCTGCTTAGGAGGATCGTGTTCAAAATTTGATAACCCGCGCAGCATCTCAAGACGTATGTGTATTTCTATAACTCGCTCGCCGGGGCCCATGCGGGTATTTGATTACATTTACCCCTTTTAGTGTGCCTATGTGTATACAAACTATTGTGCACGTGCGGGGGTATTTTTGGAATAGACGCCTTCTATCTGCTTGTACGAATGTTGCAGATTCGATGGTGTGGCGTAGCAGCTTTTGAATAGAGTTGTTCGCTGCTTCGTACAGGTAGACTGTCGTACGCTATTTATTGATTTCTGTAGGTGGATCATGGTGCACTAACTAATCTCCTGCTTTGTATTTATAGATGCTCGTAGATAGTTTATTGTATGCATGATAAATTTTCCACTGTAACTCATAAGCACTTGCACTTGATATAATTACTGTATCTTGCTCGTGGACAATAGACTGAGTGTACTACGAGTCTTCTACAGTGGCTCGTGATACTTGTAATCGTTGTTGTCATATTGCATGTTGTTCGTAGATGATATGTGATATTCATAATGGGGATCCCATAGAAGCTCGTTGGAGCTCGTATCTGTCATGTACTTTGTTGTTGTATTTGGTCTTTACAATGCATCCACTACTGCTGGAGGTAGATATATTTATCTTTAGACTGAAGTTGACTACAGTATACTGCACTTACTGTAGTCTTTATCTATCTACACAGGGTGGCATGTTATACATACATCTGTATTTGTCGAGAGATTGTATGTATTGCAGATCTTCCATTTAATCTTTGGTCATTGCTTGGATACTACCTCATTTGAATGATCTGAGGTATCTAAACTTTGTTATTCTTCATTTGTGTAACCTTTAAAAATTTGTTCCTCATTCGCCTTATATTTCTTGCTCATATGCTTACTTTCATTTGGATGATCAGGGTAAATGTTATGGGTCAATCATCATTTGATTTGTGATGTGAATGATGTCATCGACATTGTTATTGGTTGTCAATTAATATTCCAACCAATTTGATAACTTCTTGTTATTTCTTTTAAATCCTGTGGATTGGTTGCAAGCATATTGTTATATCCCCCAATTGATCTTTCTCTTTATGGATAAATCACATTCATTGTATCATTTATATGTCATGAATTTCCCATCTATTTGTTGACATTCATGCATATTTCATTGAATATATTTGGGTATATCATATCATTATCTTCATAACATATCAAGTCTTTCTACTCGAAGAAGAGAATATCATATCTGCCTATGTATCGCTCTTCAATATTCATTGGTACCCCTTCAATTTGGTCCCCATTTGTAAGAAGCTTGTTGTGTTTATTGTGTGATTATTCTTCTTGAAAGAGATGGATACATCCACTTGCCTAATTGATCCATAAGTGAGTTGTTCACTTAGCATTCGCTCATTCATTATTTGATGACTCGAATTTATTTTATGATCGGTTTGAGCATGATTTAGTTCATTTAATACTTAGTTTGAGTCCACAAATCTTGTCCAAGCCCGGTGTAGCTTCAACATGAATCTTCTATTCATTTGAGTTTGAGTCCAAATGGTTCAAGCTCCCTTGTATCACTTTCAAGTTCAAGCTTCTGGTTGTTTAAGCTTGAGTCCAAGTTCAATCATGGTTTTGTACTGTCTAAATTTTGTTCAAGTTCAAATCAAGTTCGAGTGTAGTCCTTGTTATCTTGTAGAGTCCAAGTCCGATTTCAAATAATAAGCTCAAGTTTCATATCCATAAGTTTGAGTTCACTTTGTTCATGCTTGAG